CTGGAGTGCTATGTGCCTGAATCTACACTAGCAAGTCATTTCATGTGGTAGAAGTGGATCAAAGCAATTGCTACTGATGCTTTTATATCTACATTATATATATTTTTAGGTTTTTACTTAAGGCTAGACTCGGTCCAGACAGCCATGGCACAAGTGGTTCAAATCCATGTGAAGAACCCCTGGAACCTTTGCCTTCCCAGCAAGGGTACAAGCACATCTGGTACACACTTGTGCAGCTTCCTTTAAAAGAAATCTGCATTGCATGCTGCAAACAGAGCCAATACGTGGAAATGGAGACAAGTTGATTCAGAACTGCACTGCATCGCTGAACCAAAATGCTCATGTAGGTGTAGCCTCTCGTCACTAATTTTGCCCTACCAATCCTATTGCTTTAAACTTCCTATAGCCACTTGGGGAAACTCTGCTTCAAGTTTCCTCTGCTTCCAAAGGCAGAGGAAAAGTTGTTATTAACGGGCTCACAAATGGTGCAAAAATAACTTCATTTTCAAACAGTCAAGATTCCAAATAGGTAGATTTCTAAATGTATCTTATTAAAAGCAGGTTGCGTTGGAAGGAAGAGGAAGGTTAGTGGGGGGGAGTCAGTGTGAAAGAATAGTGATACTATGATAATTATCCACCTAATTGCTACCATACACAGGAAAGTATGTGCTTTCTCACTTCAAGCCGAGCTTTGTCAAAAGCCAAAACAGAGCACTGCCTAGAATAAAATGAGCTACAAAAGGGTTTCCAACACTAGCACCTGCACTTTTTCTAGCACTTTGAGATAATGGGGTGCTGCAATGCTCCAAGTGATTGGCAGTTTGGGTACCATTAAAGTAATAGATATGATGAAGTATAGTTAAAAATAGGCAGTGCCTTGAGAGAGCCTTGCTCTTGACCTCATAGTATTCACAGCAATCCTTTGTATTTGCACCGCACTTTCATACTGGTCTTGCACTTTGCCTTAACCAAAGCAAGTTGCAGATTTCTCAAAAAAAGGAGTACAGCTGTAAGGAGAGGGTTGTAAGCTGTGGTATAAACTCCATGAAACAAAATTAAAATAGAATGAAATTGTATTCTTTTCTCTATCTAAATTCTACCAGAGAAGCCTTGAACCAAGAGAAGTGAAGGGTGCTTATAATTACTATCTTATATCCACCACTAAAGAATTTTTGTTACTTGTAGCTCCAACTGTAAACACAAAGCTGAACTTCAAGCTCTCAGAAGTCTGGTCTTGTTTCCAGGTACACAACATTAGTTATACAAACAAGCGTAGCAGAGACTGTCAAGTCAAATTCTGCTATCTTCTGTTTTACATTAACACTGATTTTTATTTTCTTATTTTTAATTGAGATATCAGCCAGCACTAAGTGGAAGTTCAGACTTTGTCCATCTTTCCTGTCTTGATCATGGAAGACTTTATCTGTAGAGAGAAACCTTACTTGTCTGTGCAGTATTAGATTTGAATCTCAGAACTGTAGTATTGTCATATTCAATGTAAGTCTGCCCCAGAATTGGCACTGTGATATATGATTGGGTGATTTCATGCCATTAGAAACCTGTAGTCGGATTTAACCTGTTTATTTCTTTAAAAGTGTTTCTCTTATCTTCTTCTTTTTGTCAAAATAATTTTTACTGGGAAATTAAAACAAACACCAATGTGCTGATTTGCTGTTTTGTCACTTACCTATTTAGTATGGAACTGGAAACCATGTGTTTCCCATCAAAAGCTTCCAGAGGCTTTTCTTTGCTTAGCTCCTTTCCAGAAGGGCCACATGAAGTTAAGGACTCTGAGTCTTTACCCGGCTCATCTTGTTGATCCGTTTCTATCTGAATTAAAGGCACTTCCCTGTGCTGACCTGCAGGGAGGCATCCAGGGCTCTTCATATGCTCTTTTTTCTTCAAATTTCCTCCATCCCTTCTAGGTTTTGATTGAAGCTGAGTTGCGCTTTGTGGATGTTTGCTTTCCGGCACATGTTCTCGGTTTGTATAATCAAAGGAATCCTGCTGGACAACAATTAAATTTTTACCACTTTCAACAATATTTGCAGCCAGCCTGTTTGCATATTGTTCCACATGTGGTGGGGAATCACTGTGAAACTGGTCTGCTTCTGCAGCCTCTGCCTCATCTGCTATGATTTTGTTCTTGCGCATTAGAGATTCAATAGAACTTGCCCATGTCTCGTGAATCAACATATCTGTTATCTGGTCAGTTTTGCATCTTTGGTACAGGCATGAGTCAGATTTGCAAAGACCTGAAGAACCCACGGTACTGACTGCCTGTACACTTAAGGAATCTTGGTGATGGCGGGCAAATCCGTCTAATGAATTTGCCTTAACTGGGACATTAACTGTTAGCCTAGAGCCTGATGGTCTGCTGTCAGGCATTGACGATTGCCTAAAGCAAAAAGGTGATCGTAGAGAGGGTGGTAGCAAACTGCCACACCAGTCCTTTGAATTCTGCAGGGAAGATATGTTATCTTTATTTTCCTTTTCTATTTCTTTTAACATATATCTATAAAATTCTTCTGTTATGCTTTCTGTGCTGGACTGCTTGGACGGGCAACTTGGTCTGACATTAAGATGACCATTTTTCTTGGCTACCTGTTGCAAAGCAGAAGTTAAGATGTTGCTTGCATTTTTGCCTGCATAGTAATCCAGTAATAAATCAAAACCTCTTCCTTCGTTTTCCATCTGGTTCACCATAAATCTTGAAAATTCATCTGTAATGCTTTCACAACTAGACTGCTTTGAGACAGAGCTTGTCTGGCTCACAGGCTGACCAAAAGTGTTCATTAGGCCTAGGGTATTGAAAGAGGCTTTGGAATCAGAGTCCTCCTCTGGTATGCTCTCACAGCTTGAGGCTTTGGCTCGGCTCCATCTTTCACAATGCAGCCTGTTCCTGGGATGGTTTGGACCTTGCCAGATACTATCAACCATGGAGAGTTCAGTGAGGTTCATGATCTTGGCAGCCACTTCATTTGCAAAGATATTGACTGTATCTGGTGTGTCCTCAAGGTTTATAGATTCATCTACTACCCGATTCATCAATCTTTCCTTTAGCTCAGGATGCTCATCTGTTTTTCTTTTGATCTCGCTAAGTCTAGGTGCCCTGTGCTTCCGAACAACTGAGCCATTAGCATGGGTTTCCTTTTTTCTTTTCATGGTTCTGCATGATAAACTCTGAGTGACCACATATTCATTGCCTCTCTTCCATGCACAGAACCAGGGTTGCTTTCCATTTGAATTTTCAAGACAAATCGCAGCTATTTCTGTGGCCATAGACACAACTGTTTCTGCTAATTCTTCTGCAAAATCCGTTAAGCAATATTTGTCCCTTGAATGTTTCACCTGTAGCACAGGCTGAGAAGGAAGCAAAACATGATTTCCTAATAAAGACAAGCTAACCTGAACATCATTATTTAGCACAGCATCGCACTTATGCTTGCCCTGGTTTTCTGCATTCATGGTGGCACTGGAAGATAGCTGTTCTTGAACACCATGCCTGCATTCATTGTTTGCAAAAGTATTTTCTCTGTCTGAAAATGATCTATAGTCTTTCTTCTGATGATGATTGTTACTCTGATTTGGGGATTTGTAACAGTCTCGTGAGGTTCTTTTCAGGTATCTTTTCTTGGGAGATGTTTTTGCAATAAATGTGTTATGCCCTGTAGCTCTACTTGTTGGTTCTGAATACAGAGTGGCACTTTCCTTGCTATTGCAGTCTTTCATATTACTTTTCCTAGTGTTTGTGATGTTTCCAAGATCTTTGCCAGCACTGGTGCTGTAGGATGTACCAAATGGCTTAACAGCAGAGTGATCGAGGGGGCTGTGTGAAGTTTTACATGCTGTTGCCTGTGTTGGCCATCCTTCTGCTCTTGTTACTTTCTCTGCTTTTGTGTCCTCAGAAAAGAGAGGAGAACACTCTTCAACTTGTCTTATGTTGTTCATCTTCTTGCAAGTGAAATATATTACATTAAAAAGCAACTCATTTGCAGTCTCCATGAAAATGTCTTGTGTACTTAAGCTGTTTTCTGAATGGGGATGTAGCTGTCTCTTCTTCCTAACCTCTTCAATAGAATGTCGTAGGATAATATTGGATAAGTTTTGTGCGAATTCATCTCTGATTCCTTCATCAGTGTGTGGAATCCGTGGCCTTGCTGCTGTTTCAATAATTTTTCCATTTATGGATTCCATAAAATGCCCTACATTTTTGTATGTGTTGGGTTTTGTCAAAATTATTGAGGCCTCTTTCAGAAGTACTTCTGCAATGCTATCATTTAGCTTCTCCATGCTGCTTCCTATAGCTATGCTACAATGAAGAGTAACGGCTGCAGAAGTCTGAGCAGCAGACAGAAGTCCACTTGAAGCTGCAGGGTATGTCTCTTCTTTTGTTTTCCCCAGGCCACAGACGGCTACAGCACTTGCTACTTGAGTCATGCCACACAGCGCAGATGGAAATGAATATTCTGTGCCAGCACAGTCATCAAGTATCTGTGAAGATGCTGTATGTAGCTCTTCATTATCAACTGCTCTGCTTTCAGAGTCTGTGGCTTCTTGATCCCATTTGAATTTTTCTGCAGCCTGGGGACTGGAGATGGTTCCAATAACAGTGGCTGCACAAGCCAGAGCCACTTCCAGTGTGCTCTGGCCATGTCTGTCTGAATGTTCTTCCTCAAAATAATCCAAAACTTCAGCAGAACTTTCTGATTCAGTCCAGTGGCACAGCTTGGGGAAGGCAGACCCTGGCCAGTCAGATATATTCTCAGAACTGTCTGGACTTTGCACTATGACGATCTTTGGGAGTTCGTTCCACGATCGGGAAACAGATACATCTTCTGACTTACAGGAGCTTCCTATGGAGATGCTGACTGCAGCCTCCTCACTAAAAGTGGGTTGAGACTGTGACAGTCTAATGAATGCATCTTGCAGAACAGATTCTGCTAAATTTGTGGCATACTGACCTGTAGTCACCTGCTCATTTTGTGAGGGAGGATCAGTTTTCCTGGTACCTGAATAATCCTCTCCATCTGTCTTACTGTTGTGTTTTGCTGTTGGGTCATACAGAGGCCCCAGCTCCTCTTTAGCCATTTCAGTTAAAGATACATCTTCTAACACGTGCGCTGAGCAGGAATTTTCAGCCTCACTAGTCAAATTATTAGTACTAAAGGATGAAGTAGCTCTTCCAGTTAATTCCTTCTGCCACACTATTTCCTGGTCTGACTTGACTTCAAGCTGTAAGATATCATCTTCAGTCACAACATTCACAGCTTCAGAGACTCTAGTAGCTGTATTATCCTCATTATTGCTGTTCGCTTCAAGAATGAATGGCAACCTGGCTTTTCTGTAATGGAGATTTTCAAATCCCTTTCCTTTATTTTTTTTGATATCTGAAGATGCTTCTGAAACACTTAATTTTTCATGACCTATTAAAAGAAAAATGAGAAATCAGTTTTTGCAGGGTACCCTGTAACTTTAAAAAGAAAATGGCTGCACAACTGTGTAATGCATTACTGCTCCGTAAAATTACTGCACAACCATGTGTCCTTGTTTTTGAGCAACACTTTAAAAATATGAATGGCTGTTCATTTTCTAAATTACAGAAAAATATATGCATGAATTAACATCAAGTGCAGTTTCTCTGAGAATTGCAGTTTCTCTGAGAATTGCCATGGCTGTTTTGCAGTATGAACAATAGCAGAATTATGCTCAGTCCCATTGCTTTTACCAGTTTTATATTCATCAGCCTCGTTGTCATCCTCAAGGTGCTCAGATGCTGTGAGGAAATCTTCTTCTATTGAGGACACTGAGCAGTTTGTGTCATCCTCGGGCTTTAAGACATGAGCTTCTATCTGCAGCTGTCTCTCCTGAACAAGCTCAAGTCCAATCAGAAATTTGTTTATTTCAAAAATGATGCAGCTTGCGCTGTTTTTCCTCTCCCCCCTTGCACACAGAACCAAGCAGACATCTGCCAGCCAAGGACACTAGAGGGGAAAAGAATCTCAAACAGTTATTTAATTAAAAAAAAATCAACTTATTTTAAGCTTCCCTCTCTCTAAATACCTTAGGAATGTTCTGTTGCAAAGATGCAATACAATCTGTCATTTAGATGTTTGTAACACAGCATGCAGTTACATCTATGCCAAAATAAGACTGCTTGGACTGACAGCTGTTGTTATACAAGTGTTTAGAGAACTCAGCTGTATCACAGGGGCATCTTTATTTTGTTGAAATTAGCAAGTTGTTTGTTTTCAATCAATTTCTTGTTTTAATGACAGAGATTTATTTACTTTTAGTGGCGTCAGTCAGCCATCTGACATACTGTTACTAATGGCCTTGCACCACCCGGTATTACCTGTCTCTTGAGGGAATTGTTTGTAAGCTTGAATTTCTTTTCAGGATAATTTTGGTTGCAACGCTTTTTTGAAGGCAGCCCTGGCTGGCAAGATTGTTAAGAGCAGGTCACCTTTAGATGTTCCTACAGCCTGTTTTAAAACAGTGTTTTATTTTGTTTGTTTGCTCTTCTTCCTCTCGTTCCTTACTTGCCCAAAGCCCCATTATTTTGGACCAGTGTAACCTCCCACTGGAAATGGGGGCTTCACTGTGCACTGTGCTGAGCCTTTATATAAAACTGTCTTACTCGGAGAAGCTGTACGATTAAGTTGAAAGTTGGACAGAAACTGAGAGAAAGGAACTCATTATCCTCTTTTTATTGATATTGAAACTGTTAGATATTTATACAACCACAGAGCTAAGTTGATATCCCTGCATGGGACTACATTTGTGGTATGGATGTGCTCTGAAGCAAAGACAAGCTTTTGCAGCTTGTGATCTTGTGCTTGTTAAAGCACAAGGGCCCAGGAAGGAGCCAGCTTGAATGGAACCAACTCTGGATCGAGGTGGTAGATTTTTAAGCCAGTGCAAAAGATGCCCTGGACCCACTGTGTGTTTGCACAGTATCTAGCATAATGTAACCCCATCCTAGATCTTTTGTCTTTGAGTGTGAATGCAAAGCAAGTATCTAGTAATAAAGGGAGTGGGACGAGTATTATGTTGCAATAGCATGTTTTATTAGCCTGCTCTTCTTTCCACCTAAAAAATGTGTCTGAACAGAAAACCAGATAAATTAGTGTGTTAAAAGTAAAACAGAAAAGATAGTTATTTTGGTTTTTTTTTTTTGAAGTAGCTGCTAAGAAATTGTTGCTGAATCAGACTTGAACACATACCGTATTGTGAAAAATGTTATTAAAACCAGATGCAGCCTTAGATCAAACACTCCCCTGCTGTTTCTCCAGTCCACAGTTTGCAGGGCTGTACTTGTGGAAAACGCTGAGGGGGAGCAGAATAAAAATCCTTGTATGAAAACTATGTGAGTCTCCTTACAAATGAAATTCTCTGGAAAGTTAAACAAATGTAAGGATGAACATAGCATGTGCTTATTTGGCCAATAAATCTCACCCAGTCTCAATGCAAAGATTTACTCATCTTACAAGACAGAAATCGAGGTTAGCTCTCATTTTTCTCTTGCCTACGCTGTCCTGGACAAAGCTGCCAGTCTCAATAGCCACAGGCTTTCAGAGATGGGGATGACTTGGCTACTTCAGTCGTCGTCGTCTTCAGGCCTGGAAACACACTTGTGTGTATTGCAGCATCTTCCCTCCAGGGAAGTAGGGCTTGGAGCTCCACTTCTCCCACCACAGGCTTGTGCTCTTATTTTTTTAAATCTCTCTAAATTTAGCCACTAGTTGCAAGCAGCAAGAAAGCTCAATAACCAGGCAATTTCTCTCTTTAAAATCAGCTTATTGGTATAACATAAAATTCAATGATCTTTGCAATACAGCTGTTCCAGGGCCTGCTTCATGAAGAATTTTGTACACAAGCTAATTTGGATGAAAAAAGTTTTCTGCTTTTTTTTTTTTTTTTTTTTTTAAAAAACTGCAGCAGATAAAACTGGAGATACCTGTTCAGGTTTTATGTTTGCTGAGACAGTTTTGTACTTCAGGCTAATTCTGCAGTTTTAACGAAGTTGTTCCTAATTCATCTTTGGCCAAATAAGACCAGAATGAGGCTGAAAATACTGAAATGCTTTTCATTCTTTATCTCAAAAAAAAAGTATGTCTTTTTTTACAGGCATAAAGTATGTTAAAAATGGAAAGGAAAAAGTTTTTTATTACAAAAATGTGTTAAGCTTCTGGAGCTTGCGTATTAAAATGCCTTTAAGCAAATCTTCCTGTTTGCTTCCTTTCTCTATGTGGTGCCAGTAAGAGGAATTCTTGGCCTCCAGATCACAGATAGCGAACATTTCATTGACAATAATGGAGTTAGCATGAGAACTTTGCCTTTAGCTCCTTTAAATGTTAAGTTTTAATTAATACATTAATTACTTCTAAAGTTGACAGCAGCTAAATGAGTTATCAGCTCTGATATGGTATGGTAGCTTGGTATTTTCCATTGTCACATTCAGGCTTACAGTAGCCTCTAGGATCTTCAAGTCCTATCGTCAGCTGTTTTCCGAGGTGCATGCGTGGGAGAAGATGGATCGGGAACAAAAGCGGGATGTAGCAAGACTTCACTTGAAATGGAGTCTGTAGGATCTGTGCCCCAATCTAGCTATGTGCACAGAAAGTATTACATCTTTCCTTTCCGCACACTGTGCTGCCCTTCTGACTCCTGCTACTCTTGAAATCTGGGCTTATGAATCATCTCTGCCACCAATGCCTGCCTTCCCTGAAGCATCAACTACTAATATGGCTGAAAGCATTATCAGCTGCAATCCAGACATCCACAGGGTCTCGAGGGAATAGCAGGATCTCCCCTCTCTTTGTGTCATGCCCCACACACGCTCCTGCCCCACACACGTGAGATTTTTCTTAGACAGATTTATTTTTTGTTTGCAAACTCCCACTCGTCTCTTAAACTGGTGTAAGGTCTTTACTTTCAGCTTCCTTTTTTCCATTTTCCAAATTCCTTCCTTCACAGCTGTGATGCGATCTTAAAGATGAGTTTGATTCCTACCTGAGGACCTTCATAATCAGCCTGAAGGTTTCCTGATGATAATCCACTCAGCAGGACTATTTCATTTTCCTTTGGTGGCTGTACGTTCATTGAACTGATGAGTTTGGGGAGATTTGGAGAGACACTGATCAACCTCTGTAGTGTGAAAGACAGATAGATTTTGCTCTCAGGTAATGAAGTCTGAGTTGCACAGTTACATTCATAAATATCAAAATGAAATACCACTTAGAGGCATTCCTTTAGAAAGCTTACTTGAACTTACTACTTTGAGTTGATTACAAATAGAACTGGCCACATTAAAATGCACGTTCTTTCTTTTGAGCCACCAGCCAAGACAACAGTGACATATAAACTTCTGCACAACTGTCCAGCAGGACAACCTGTCATTCCTTGCATTGTAATGTGCTAAACAGCTTGATTACATTTGTGGATCTAAATACTTGGCCTTCTTATTATGAGTGAGTTCCTAAGAGACTGAGAACACTAAAGATTCAGTAAGTATGGTAATGAGAACAGGGCAAATCTTCCAGTTTTCCTCGAGGCATATGATAAGTAAGAAACCAAAGGGAAAGTTAGCTGGAAATTGCTGATCAAATTGGTGCACTACTAAACCTGGAATAAGAGAAGTATTTAATGCACAGATGAAACATGCATTTCTTTGCTGTTCCACTGGACACCTTCATGACTTTTGATTTGTACTCATACAATTATTTTCTACCTGTTATGTATCTGCTAGAGCCAAAAGCTGTAATAGCCATAACATCAATGACGCTATGTAACATAGGAGATTTGTGTTGTGATACTGCTGGGAGTCCCCCGTGTGTGCAGGAGACATCTGTCTTGTTTCGTGTACAAAGGCCAGACCAAAGGGACAATACCTACTCTAAGAGTGCTTGCAATTCTTTTCTGCTGAGGATCTCTGTATGCTTGCTTTATGAACATGGAATCAAGGATGAGGCCTTACAGAGGGAGTAAATACCACCTCCGTTTTATGCACTAACAGCCCATCAAATGGCAAAGCCATTAAGGGAATGCAGATCTTGGGCACCCAGCTGTATGCTTTACTTACCATGCAATTCAATGATACTTCACTTTTTCCCTTTTCGTCTTCAAAATAATAAGCTTGCAGTACTGTTATTTTTCCTCAGTGAATTAGATATAATAAAACTTTCTGGCTTAGCAAATCTAATTCAATTTTGGGGAACAATTCACTTTTCGGTAGACTGATCTTCAGATGAAGCTAAGTATTTATATTTCAAATAAGTAAATTCAGTGCTTCAATTCAGTTTGACGTTTTGGTATAGTACTAAAAAGTTCTCATCCTTTTTTCAAATTATAAACTCTCTGTTTTCACACACTTTTCTCTATATATCTCTAATTTTCTACTGCCTAAATTGCCACATTTTATCAGATTTCTTAGGTAGGAAATCATGGCATTTTGTACATCTTTCTTCAGTTCCATACCTTTTGTTAAGAATAAAAAAGGAAAAGCCTGGAAAGGTGATTATTTTACACCAAATACCCCATTTTTAGCCCATTTCAAGGTTCAATGGGCAATGCAAAATCCTAACAGTACCTATTAGTAAATAGTTATACCTTTCATCTGAACAACTTTACGCTAACATCTTTAAGTCTTCCATGAAATGCTTTCACCACATCGTGTTGTATAAATTCCACCCCACTCAAAGCTGATTTACACAAATGGTGGCTTATACACAAAAATTGTGATGAGCAAGTTTACTCTTAGAGAAGAATCCACAGTACCTGTGCTAGCAGTGAATTTTAATTAACTACACTGAAAACTAAAAGTATCATCTTCCAGTCATGGCTAATAAATGTGTTGAGTCTGCACCAGAAACTACCTTTCTAAAATGTGGCCAAACATTGTGGTCTCTCCGTTACCAGTCCCCACCATGCCAGGTGGGGAGTGCCAGCTGTGGGCACGTTGAGGTGCAGCACTTTGGGGAGCTGACCGGACTCTGCCGCCACGGAAGAGCTCAGGGCTATGGGAAGTGCATAGGCAGTTAATGTACCGCTGCTGCGGGGCTGACAGGTAAAAATCATGCAGCTGTATTCAGAGGTGACTTGTGCTTGTGAGGGAGTTATCTAATCTCCAGGCACTGTAAGGGTAGCTGCATAAAACTAGTTTAAGTTGGCTTTTACAGATATCTAGCTCTAAGATTGAGGGACAAACTTTTGGTATTTCCTGATGACTTGCTATAGCTTTTACTCCTTAATAAACACTGTAAACAACAATAAAAACATTGCTTATTCGAAAACAGTGCTTCTGTGGATTCAGTAAAGTTAAAGCTCTCAAGCTGTTCTGCACAGTTAACTTGCTGATTCAACAGAAAAATCATTTTGCTGCAAGAAGCTGTATTTATTTTTGACATCTGAATTTTCACAGATCCAGGATGCAGAAAACAGCACAGAAAACCAGTTCCTGCTAATGAATGACTTGCAGGAGGCAACAAGGTCCCAGCATTGGTTGTCCTCCCATGAGCTAAAAGTGGTTTTACAAAACAACTGTAATGCTTTACTGAGGAACTCACTGGATATTGTTAAGAGATCCTACCTTTGTTAGCTTACCACGTATTGCTGCCATATTGCTGTGTTGATCATAGGCACCGAGCCAGGATGATGAAAATGAACTGATAAAGGAAGATGTAAACTCAAAACCGACACCAGGCCATATCTTTAAAATGTGACTTCTTCAGACTTGAGGGTTTTTTTGAATGATATGTATTTTAAATAGTATATCATGATGTAGTTTGTCTCAGTGTTTGTAAAATAACCAAGCTTTTTTTTTTTTAAAATACTTTTTTTCTACCCTCCAAACTTTTAGTTAAACACACCTTTAGTTCTGTTTATCTAGACCCCTCCTCAAGACCACGTAATCAAACTATCTGAAGTTTGACTGAGTTAAGACTGGTCAGCTGAACAAGACATAAATGAGTAGAAGCTTCTCAAAGGCTTTTTGGCAGTAGGAAAAAGAGACATCAGAAATTTTTATGTAGTATTATGACAAATTAAAAAATTGGATATATGACATAGCCATGTTCACTTCTCTGATAAAACCAAGGCTGAGCAAGAAGTCTGCTCACGTGATAACTGCTGTGAGTTCACAGACTGAAACAATCCATTAGATATTTTGGTGTGGGGGTAAGAAAAGCTATAAAATACAGCCTGGTGTTGAGATAATTTCAGATTCCTCATGCATTTCTCTCTGTAAGGGTAAAAAATCTAGGGCTGGCTTTGATTTTTTTTTTTTTTTTTTTTTTAAACTCACCTCCTTTCCCCATAGAATTTTGACATGGGTTTGTATCTGAGAGTCCTGGTATACCTGACTAGACCCACTGTGCATGTTATTAAGACTTAAACTGTTACCTGTTTCACTTGCTCTTCGCTGCAATCATCTCTGTTTGCATCTAAATTCACAAAACAAACCTGTAATAAGAGAGAAAAAGAAACAGTAGCTTATAAGGTCATATTAGAATGGCAGCAACCCTGATTAAATTCAATATATATTCCTTTTGTGGCCTTGTAGCTGAATATGTGAAGCCTTTTCCTAGTACAAGAAAGGTTGAAAGGTTAGCGAAGAGAATAGTAGAGTAGATGTTAAGAAAGGAGATAAAACGAAAAGAAGTAGGAGTCATGACTTCATCTGCTCTGAAAATTAGCTTGTCTGATAAACAGGCAGATTTGCCAATAAACAGTAATACAGAAGATATTAGAAAAGATAGAGGAAATGTTAAAAATGCATTTTATTGTATATCTGATAAACTCCTGTCTTGCTTTTCCAGTGATTTCTTCTTTTCAGGCACTTGATGCTAAATGTTTCATAAGTGCAGTTGTGAGTTCCTTTTAGAGTTTTCTCCACATCACATAAATATTGTAGGATTTTTCCTAACTCTCCAAACTTCCTAAGTAGAAATATGGAAATATTTTTTTTTTAACCTTGGTTCATAAGTCAATATGCAAGCAGAAGTTTTCAACAGTGCTAACAAGCACTACTAATTAGTATGTTTACGTGTGATTCACTGGAAAGTACTACTTTAACGACAAGGTCTTTTGCCCCTTCTTTGATCATTATGAGTTTCAGCAATCATTTAATGGTAGTGAGATTGACTTAAATAGAAACTTCAGATCTAAAGACCGTTTTATTTCTGAAGACTTTTATTTTTCACGTGACTGGAAGGCCATTTTCTAATTTTCAGAAATAAGAAATTCCTCTTCCAGCTTTATTTCCAAGTTAGAAGCAAGGACTCCAAAGCTAGGCTGACCGTCCTGCTTCTGAGTGTTGTGGATTTCTCTTCAGAAGTTTGTGAGAGTTTGGTGCTGTCTTCATTTAAACCAAAACGTGCCACAGATTCAGGGCTGAGCTGAAGCCAACACCTGATTACAAATAAATTGCAGATCCAGAGTTTACCTTCTAAGAGCTGGGTGAATTTTTTTTTTTTTTCTTTTCCGGCAAACAGTAAAT